TTTCACCCACTTAGTGGATAACTCAATGGAGATTGAAGCAAATGACTCTGAATTTGAGTCCCGAAGTGAATATTAAAAATTTAGGATGCAGAAACATCTAGCTGATGAGTGTCAAATGGGATGAAATATGTGTTCTTGACTTCAGTGCTAGCCACCATCTATCTTTACTTATAAAACCTTGAGTTTTATATTTCATAAGTAATTTAAATTATAGATCAAAAACTACACTTTAATCTGTCCCTATATGTCCTGGTACGGCCGAGAGCTGTGAGAGTCCACTCTCCCTCTCGTAATGCTCTCACATGGCGACGCGTATATAGCCTCTGCCAGGGAAGTCCTAATCACTGCCTTCTCGTGGCGGGGGTGTTGTTTACGAAATTGCGAGGACGAAAAGTGAATATCCGAAGCTTTAACCGGGTTGGTGGACTTGGAGAGTCCACCTAGGGGAGTTGGAAAACCCTCATTCCAAACCAATGGTGCATACGGGCTCAAGTATCCTGAGGAAATAAATTGCGTATGAACCAATCGTTGGTCACCGGCTACCATGGGACTGCATCTCCTTATGTTGCTCCACTGCCTTGTTGATCAGGCCTTCAGGTTGAAGGCTTCGGGTGTGGCCCCCTTAGAAAACCATATGCTTCGGTTTGGGCACCTGAGCAGTATCCTTTCGGTATGTTGTAATTGTAACTTTTTTATTAAGTTATAGTAAGGTCTTAAAAATTCAATCAATTGAAGCCATCGAAAGCCAAATTATTGTTTTGTTAAACTAATTACAACTTTGTACTGCAATGCTTCTTTTATTATTATTACTATTATTACTGTTATTATTATTATTATTAAATTGATTTCCCATTTCGTCAGACATTACTATTTTTGATGTAAAATATTCCTGCAGAGAAATAATGATCAAAGGTATTAATGAAAAAGATTCTGTAATATACTGTCATGATGTGAAATACAATATGATTTTTTGCTCTGATCTAATTTATGTATTAACTTTAAATGATATAATGTTTAACCGTTTAATTCCCTTTAAAAGAACATAATTCAATTATTAAGTTCGTTCATTCTAAATCACTATGTTTTCTTAAAATGATCCGGTAACCTTTAGAAATGAATGAATGTTTCTGTGAAACAAACAAACAAATGAAATAAAATATGGGTAACATGTAATAATTTAAAGAAAAATGGGCTCGGCATTCGAATAAACAAATTTTGTGTTGGCCTTAGATTTTTTAGTTTGATAAAGTGGAGTTTAAACTTACAATCTAAGTTTCGGAAGAATTTAAGAAGTTAACTACATGGTGCATAAACATATGAGTTGTTTCTTTTACTACCATTCATTTAGATTTCATCAATAATAATCAGTAATAATAATCAATAATAAATCAGTAATATTAATCACTAGATATGATCTTTCATATCTGTTATATCTGTCTTTGTGTATAGTTTATTCCTTTTTGAACTGACTAGGGGTGATCAACGATTTTATTCGAAATTTGAGACTTGAGCAGTTAGCACCTCATTAAGAAAGTCAAATTCTATTGCAATTCTAAGAAAATTTAGTGATTTAGAATGTTCTGTAACAATTGTGCCCTTGATTGATGTACTGTAATTCAAAATATATACACTTCTATGTATTTGAGTTTAAATAACCAAACTCAAAAATATCCAACATTTAAGTTTCATTTAAAAGGTTTATACATTGTGACTAAATGAAAATTAATCTGTGTCTAAACAAAACTGGACAGATTATATGACCCTTATTGCTAATGAAATTCTAATAGTTAGAATGTTCAATAATGATTAGCGTATATGAATCGAATTTGAGGCACAATTGTATTGTTAATGACAATTATCAGAGAGTTTGTGTCCGATTCAAAGAACATACTTTGAAAAGTCTAAGATGAAATGGATTTATGGCATTCAGTAATGTCATCGCAAAACATTTCATTGATGCAGGATATAAAGTCGATACACTGAAGTCCTTCAAGGTGATTAACAAACAATCTAATTCCAACCTTTGGAAATTTGCCGAAACGATCACAATCAAACGTCTAAAACCAGATCTATGTATACAAAAAAAAGACAGTAATAAATTTTTGTTTGCCTTTGTAACATTAAACCCCGCTTTTTATTAATTACGTCATTCATTATTTCAACTCTTTCTGAAGTTTAAATTACATCATTGTTTTTTTTATTTAATTTATAACTGATTGATTTCAATTCATATCTTTCTTTATTATTATACTTAATTACACAATTTTGGTGGAGTTTTGTTCTCTGAGCTGGATGGTTTGGTCGTGGAGCTTTCATCGTTCTTCTGAACGACATCATCAGCACAAACGTCAGATAGAAGTGAAGTGTTCGAATTTCTCCATATGTGTTTCACAGCTTGTTCTGTGCACCTCGATGTTGATTGGTTCTTGTTCGAACACTTCACTTCTATCTGAAGTTTGTGCTGATGATGTCGTTCAGAAGAACGATGAAAGCTCCACGACCAAACCATCCAGCTCAGAGAACAAAACTCCACCAAAATCATCCATCTGAGCTACAAATCTTCTCCACCATCTTAATTACACAATCACCTAATATTTGTTAACTCCATGAGTTCTAATCACTAGTTAAATGTTATGAAACTTTCCCTCTCAAACTTCATTTATTTTCTCCGAAACAAGCAATTTTTATGACCTTATTGAACTCTATCGGAATTTTCTCAAGATCATCATATATGTATTCATCTTTAATCACTGTCGTATGTATAAATATGTCAATATCTGTACTAATGTTAATTTTCAAATAATTTAGGTTGTAAAGGGGCTGATGAGAACCTAACGAAATAAAATGAATAACATATTATTCTGTATCAATCTTTGTTCTTGTTCTCTTTAAGGTAATAAACGGAACTATGTTTACGAGTACTGTTCATTAGCTAAATAATCATGATTATATCTATGCAATACATTATAGTGTACTAGACTGTAATACATCTGTTATATAACATGTATTACACATTAATTAATTATATGTAATATCTGAGAGAAAAAAAGTCTCCATTTTATTTTCATATTAGTATAATTTGATATTTCAATGAAAAGTTTATTCTTTAATAAATTTATCATTTGGATCTCTAGTGGTGCAACTTCGTGGACTGGTTGAAGTTAGACATTAACACCACTAGATACCGACCAACTCAGTAATCTACAGGTACGCGTGTAAGACTGTTAGGTCCTGGGCTCGTATCTCATGAGACAGGATCGTAAATGTACACTACTAAAAAGTTTCATACTAAGACAAAGCAACCATTTAGTGCTTCCAAACTTTCTACAATGGTCTATCTTCAATTGACTAATGAATTCAACTACTAAATAATTTCTATATTATCCACAAAACCCCTTTCTCTGATTATAATAAGATATGATTCCGGAAACATTTTCTAAAATTCACTTTCAGGGAACTTTTGTTTTTTCTCTTTATAAATCGGTTTTCTAAACAAAAATCAATAATACATAGAAACCAGAAGGTTTATTTGATTCCTTAGCAATATACATTCGATTATTTGTTCAAATTCAATTATCAACTGTACATTTGAAAGAATCTCTATAATGATCAAAATAGTTTGATTAATAGATAAACAATGATTTTCAAATCATTTAGGTTGTAAGGAGCTGATAAGAATCTAACGAAATACAATGAATAACATATTATTCTACTCCAATCGTTGTTCTTGCTCTGTTTAAGAAAGTCTTTGAATAAAGTTTCATACAAGTCAGCATGCTTCAACAAAGAAACCAGTATCCATGTATGTGTACATACTAAACTGATAATTTAATTTTTAACAAAAGATTTTTGTTATTTGTTTTGATTGATATGATGGAAAGAAAAGTCAATTTTCGATTGAGTTTACTCATCATGAGTTTTGTTCAAGTTTACTTCCGTTCGATTCAGTGTAATGATTATTCAATGTGGTATTTGTTTTCTTTTCTCTTATGATATTTTATTCTGTATAATATACGATATTCTTGTATCCGATTGACATGAACCAAGCTCGGTCTGTGATTTGTTATAACTCTAAGTATGCTTCATATATGTGATTTCATACTAATTATCAATCATAATGGGTGTGCAATCAATATATAGGTGAGTGTATTTTCAACTTGAGTCGTTGTCGTCGTCATCATAGTGTCTTGGAGTTAATAAATCATCACTTATACCAGTCTTTGTGTTCTTACTTTCGCGTCGTGGGAATTGCAGAGGTCCCTTGTTCCGAGTATAAATGATAAACATTTCCGACATAACAATCAACGACAACCAAATACAAAAAGTAGCATTAAAAGAGCCAAGACAATAAGCATTCAAACGACAAATTATAACATTAATTAACTGTGTTAGAGTAATTTATTAATGATATTGAATTAACTTGTAGTTTCAGTTATTATGTTAAGTCCATATACCTTATTCTAGCTTTTGAACAGTCCAATTTATTCATTCTAATTGAGTCACATTTTGACTTTGTTAATTATTCACTTATCAATCTTGACTGTTTTTATATGACCGCATATATGTATGCTCTTCTTATCCAATTATTCATCACATGTCTGTAACTTATTTTTGTGTGACTATATCGATTAACGCTAGTACTAAATGAAGTTGACTCACATACCTTCTCCATCGCACGTTATTTCACTTTACTCTCTTCTTTTCAATTCACCGATATTTTGTCTGGATCAAAGATTGTATAAAATATACAGATTCGAAATTCATCCTCGTATTATTTGACTTATTTAATTCTATTATTGACTAACGCCATTATTTAAATCGATAATTATATACAAGGATTAACAATAGGTATATCTCAATAGCAATCAGAAACCATCTTACTTAGAATCAGATCCCAGATCACTAAAACAAAACTTATTACAAACTGTTACAATTGTTACTAAATGCATTTTTCTTTTTTCTTTTCTTTTTTTGTTTTTGTTTTAAATTTCATTATACAGATGGAGTTCTATTAATATCACAAGATATAAAGAATACCGAATATGTTTTTTTAATCTTTACATGTTCATATCGTTTTGGTCGTGATGATTTAGATGTATTAGGATTGACATTTCAAAAAGAATTATTAATTTATACAAAATGTTTATGGCCAAATCATTCATTAATTATTGATAAACAATTACCTATTTATAATAATATAAAAAATCAAACTAAAAAAACATGGAAAAATAAATTTAAAAGAAAAATAAAAAAGAAAATTGAATCAATTGAAGATATTTCATCGATTGTATTAAGTGATAATTCCTATGGGATATTTAGTCAAACTTTAACAATCAATGATTTATCACCATTTCAATTAAAATTAATTAATAAATGTAATCAACATACTATACCATTTCGTATATTTGTAAGTGGATTTATTTATTGTTTTAATTATTCAATGAATATTATTGTTTTGTTTTTTTAATAGTTGAGATCATAAGTCAATTGAAGTTAGATCATTATGGAAAACAGTGGAAGCAGTGGATGGCCATTTCATCTTACTGTAGGATTTCTCAACAATGGGCATCCACGATCCCACCTCAAGAGATTCGAACTCAGGACATATCAGTCTCGTGTGTGAGCACTTAACCAATAGGCCACTGAGACTGCCGGTATCCGACGGTTTTAATGTCTAACTTCAAGTAATCCATGAAACCGAGCGACATATTCATCACTGTCTTCAGTGAGTTATTGTCTTATAACAGACTCCGTTGAACTCCACTGGTCTTAACTTCTAAATAGAACTCCAAGAAATACTTCTTGAAGTTTGTTAATAGCTAGTTTATAATAGAATTATGTTATTCTGATCATCTCAAAATTAGACTTATTTAATGAAGGAAACATATTTCGTTTGATTAAAACAATTTTTTTCCAAATAAAATATATTCGGGTTATTCATTTTGTTTCACTTGGTGTGGTTTAGTTGAATCTTCCTCTTTGATGTTTAGTACTACAATTGATCAGTCTTGTATTAGCATATGTGCACACATCCTGGATTCCACTACTAACCACTGTCTATCTTTGCTTACAATACTTGTGACTTAAGACAATATCGAAGCAATGTGACAAGAATGATTATATGCTTATTAGAGAGTAATCAACTTTAATCATAAAATCAATTGTAAGATTCAATCAAACAAAACCAAGTGATTTTAAACTTCACTACGTTTCACAAGAAAGTGAATATCAGGACCCAGTAACTAAGTGGATAACGTGATGACTTTTGAAGCGAACGGTACTGGGTTCAATTCCTGGATTGAACATCAACTCTGAGATGCAGGTTTATCCAGCTGACGAGTTCTAAACAGAACGAAACGCGCGTCGTGAATTTCACTAATAGTCAGTATCCATCTTTGTTTATTCATTTTTTGTTTAGAAGTAATCATTATTAAAAATTAATAGGTAAATGAAATAGATAAGCATTAGGTCAGTGAAAACCTGCTGATTCTTATGTAAGATCATTCAGAGTGAGGATAAGGGTAACACTTTATAAAAGCCTAGAATTTATACTCAAATGATCTAAATGAGTTTTATTAGGCCATTCAATAAGACTTAAAACATTTCATATTGTTCTTCAAATCCTGCATAATCCAATAGGACATGGATTCCAGAATAAGGTCAAAGAAAAATTATGATATACACTTATATGAATAAGTTAGATTGATTTGAATTCATCACGGAGCGATGTTCCTCTTTTTTCGTTTCATTTATCAATATAGTTATAAGTATAATAGTTTCTTCAACTGATTAGCTTGATATCCAAAAGGTTATTTTCAATTACATTTCATTTCTAACATTTTCTTGTGGATAAACATATATTCAGTTACAATGTATCTAATTAGTACAAAACTCATTTCTGCACAACAGAAGAATAGTCGTCAACCTCTGTGGTTATAACGCTAACATAGTTTGAACGAGCTAGGTAGCTTTAGTTCTTTGTGGAGTTTTTCTAGGTCTTGCTTGAACATGTCCACTATCATAAAAATCATGCTTAGAGATTTTCACGGATTTACTTCAACCATTTAACCTTAAACAAAGCGTACTGTTATGTTGATTTTTTTAGGTTGGAAGCGACATTAAAACCTGATGATTGAAGTTTGATCCGGACTAAAGACTAGAAAATTTGACAGTGCATATTACTCAGTGATCAAATATTACAAACATGAAAAAATATCTTGATTTAGTTTACAATGATATGAATTATCCGATTGTTGCTAGTTCCATGACATTTATACTTCACTTGCAAACTGCTTCATTGAGCTATTTTGTTACAGGCTTTATTGAGTAAATGTACCATAACTAACATTAGAATCTAAAAAAGCCATTTCTTCCCATTTCGCATGAGATAATCTATTGTATCGCAAATGAAATAAAGAATCATACACAATCGGAAGATTTTCTGAATTCATTTGCTAATTGAATAACACGGTAAGCATTTGAAACAAAAGGAACTGAATTCAATTCCGTGTGTCGCAATCCCAAATAGTTTGCATTACTAACTCAATAACATCTGTTCTACTTAGTACTGTTGATTCTAAGACAAAATGATAGAAGTAACTGTTTACAGTAATATCCCTTTCTAAATTTTCCTAGTTAATCAATATTAGCTATTTATTCTGAACTACTTATATTGATTTATATCAACTGTCAGATTTTTTCAATTAAATTTTCAGTTACCTCCATCCATATCTCCTTCATCAGTTGCTATTCAAACAACCCAAGGAAGCAATAGTAAAGTAAGTACCAACAAACTATTTTATTACAGCATTTATATTTTTTTTAAAAAAAAGAAAAAAGAAAGTATTTATATTCGGTATCTACAATATCAGAGAAATTGGGACATGAACTGACTGAATTAACTGACTGATTTCCTGTCTTGAATAAATGCATTTTATAAAAAAGCGAAACTTAAATATTATCAAAGTAAATAATAAATGGGAATTAATTTAGTTGTTTTAAAGTAATAAATTTATCTTTGTGATATAGGTCTAGAAACAATTCAGTAATAGTATTATTAGTAGTATCAATATCAGTAGTAGTAGTAGTAGTAATATTAAAACAGAATAGAATTTGACTTTATCTTATTAGTTTACTTACTCCTATTATCATTATTACTATTATTATTATTATTTATGATATTTCTTTCTTGTTGAAGAACAAAATCATCATACTTAGAAAAAAAGAAGAATGAATTTTCCTATCCAAATTATAAAAAAGGAGACTGAATTTAGATTTAAAACATTAATCCTAATAAATCACTATTAGAAAGAATATGAATTATTCCGTTACTAACAGACTTAAGTGAATTATAATCAATTTTAGTCAGTTAATATGTATATATATCTGAATGATTATTTTCTTGATTTTGCTATAAATGAAATGAATTTAGTTGCTAGCTAGTTAATCTATTGAAGGATATGATTTGTACTTTACTTTGGATTTATGTTTACATTCTAATAATAATATTCACTTCTGATATGCAATGAGAAGACGAAGTTTATGAGAATTATGTGATATATTTACACAATACATTCGAACAATCTGATCACACGTATATTTGTTAAGACATTTTTATATGAAAATTAAACTAGACAGGTTAAACGTATGTGCTGAAACACGTACATAGGGAGAAGCAATCATGATTTGCAATTAAGCGTGGGTGAACACATAACAAAATGGTTGCAGAAACAAATGGATTCCAATGATCAAATAAGATCACAGGATAAATAGACATCATCCTCGATTGAGAAACATTTGATTGAGACTGGTCATAAGGTTGACATCAAGTCACAGCATTTGTAGTGTTATACAAAAGCCTTCATGGACGTATACTAAGGTTTATTGAAGCCTTAGTTATACGGAAATCGAAACCCCCTTTATGTGTTCAAAAAACAATTTGTCATTACATTTAACCTACCATGGTAATACCGATTTATTATCAACAGTGTTAATCACATTTGTTTTTGTGAACTTTAATATTATCAAAAGAAGTTTTGTGAGGATTGTAGTAATTTCAACAGTTGAGATCATGAGTCAATTGAAGTTAGACCACCATGGAAAATCTGGAAGCACTGAACGGCCGTTTCGTCCTATTGTGGGACTCCTCAGCAGTGCGTATCCACGACCTCGCCTCGCAAGATCTTAACCCAGGACCTACTGGTTTCGCGCCAGGGTCAGTTATGAGATAGTAACTCACTGAAGACAATGGTGTACGGTGGCTCAATTTCGTGGATTAATTGAAGTAAAACATTAACACCGTTGGATACCGGACGGCTCAGTGGTCTAGTTGGTTAAGTGCCTGACGCGAGATTGATAGGTCGTGGGTTCGAATCCTGCGAGGTGGGATCATGGATGTACACTGCCGACGAGTCCCACAATAGGACGAAACGGCCGTCCAGTGTTTCCAGGTTTTCCATGTTGGTCTAGCTTTAATTGGCTCATGATCTCAACTATTGAAATTACTTTAGTATTATTATTTTTCCTTGTTATGACTTATGTTTAACCTGTCTAGTTGACCTTTTAATTTTTATATAAAAATATCTTAATAAGTTTATGTGTGTCATCAAATTGTTGGAAATGTAATACACTAATATATCACCACATAATTCTAATAAACTTCATTTATTCATTGCATTATCGTAATTTATCAAATTGGACTAATTGTTTTAGACTAATATTCACATCATGATCTAAGTTTTTTTTTAAAAATTTCTATTCACAAATCTAAGTGACATTGTTGGTTTTTTTTAAAAAAAAATTAACAACAAACCAAAAGTGGTGAAACTCTACTTTATGGACGACCTTTGAACGAATTTTTAAGTGACCTTGAGAGCATTAGCCAATCAGAAAAGAGTTGGTATAAAGTAAAAATACATTATAAAAAAGTAATGAATTACAATGGATATTCTTCTTTTAGATGATTTAAGAACTTGTTGAGGTTTGATAAAGGTTCAGAAGTTTTGAGATCATAGTGCATGCGGTATAAAAACTCGTCCATATGACTCCATAATAATCGTCCTCTGGAGCCGTGGTAGGGTCTTTAAAAATACTTCAGCCTAGACCACACGCCCTCAATGTTGTTTGTATGGACCCCCGTCGTTGGATCAACAAAATGACGTTTGTGCACCACAACATGATGCACAAAACCAAGTCTGGAGAGGCATCTATACATTTTCCAATCATCGGTATAGCCGCAGCTAATGTTACTTGAGACTTTATGATCCAATTTGCAACGATTGTCATGGTTTGTCTTAGCCTTAGCCGTGACCGGGCAAAAAAGTGCCAGTTCGAGCAGATTTTTTTCTCCAACATATAGTACAACGACATACAATGTCATCGTGGCAGTCTGCACATCGTGCTGCGGTCATTTAATTGCCGCAGTCACAGACACAGGAACTTCTTAACAGTGCCATCTGCTGTAGTCTCTCAACGATCACCTATTCTCTAAAATCTGCCGTAAAACGATCGAATGTGAGCATCTTGCACTGAACTTACCGCCGTGACCTTGAAATTCCTTAAACGCTTCTGATTGGCTCGTCCATAAATTAGAGTCCTACCCCAAAAGTTCTCTTAGATACAATTTTGTATTATGTTTTTATTTCGTTTTCAAATTTAATTTTGTTTATTTTCCTTTTTTCAAACAAGAAAAAATTAATGAACATTCATTTTAATAATCCTTATTTATAAAAAAAAGAAAAAAAAACAAGTAAACAAGTAGATAGTTACAATGAGAGATAATTGACTCAAACAATGTCTACAATTGACGTGTAGTCACTGAAATAAGAAAAAAATTATCTGTTAGGTAGATTAAGTTAATAGAATCATTCAATGGACGAATGATATGTTAGAATATACATATATATATATATATATATATATATATATATATAGTTATGAGAAGAAAGATTATTAAATATCTTTACATATTTCATAGATTTCTGTAGGCTATATAAAGTTTAAGAAAAAAAAACAGAAGCTTTCATTTCCATGTCTTAAATGTAAGACTATTATGGATTGAAATGTTAATTCTAACGGGAATAAATACACAGTATAGTTAGGTAATCACACTTATTAGATAAGATAAGTAGATGGTATAAATGTTAGTTATGTTCATTGTTATACACTTTTTAACATTAAAATCCACTTGAAGTTAACAGTTACGTTATATGTAAAAGTGGTCCATAATTTATTGAGCATAAGTTTTCTTTTTACATCATGAGATCATGAGTCAATTGAAGCATGATCACCGTAGACAATCTCCACAAAACCCATTCTGATACTAATCAACACACGCTCACTAATGACTGACTTCAACAGGTATATCCTGGAGTTCTGGTGAGAAGCAGTGGAGTTCAACCAGGTCTGTTGTGAGATACTAACTCATTGCGAAGAGTGGTGGACGGTGGCTCAGTTTCGTGGATTGTTTGGAGTTAGACATTAATACCATTAGATGCCGGCTCAGTGGTCTAGTTGTTAATTGCTCGCGCGCAAGACTGATCGGTCCTGAGTTGAAATCCCACAAGGCAGGATCGTGTATACGCAGTGTTGAGGAGTCCCACAATATGACGAGACGGCCATCCAGTGCTTCCAGGTTTTCCATAGTGGTCTTGCTTCGATTGACTCATAATCGCAACTATTAAAACATGAGATTTTTTGTGACTTTAAGACATGATTTATTCTCGAATCGGAATACGACTTATACAATCTTAGTACTGTGCTAAACCAATGACGTTCGACCAGTATGAGCAGCCTAGCGTCTTTGTTGATGCACTGTTTGCTTAGCTCGTCCACTTGATTGCAGGAAGCCAATAACAGTTCCCACTATGCGAATCGTTTATTTCAAACATACTTGGATGAATACATGGATACGGTAAACCGACTCATTGTAATTAGTTCAATCTGCAATTCATCTGCATCACCGACTGGTATTATCCATAAAATTATTTAAATTCAAGTAAAACTGACTGGTTGTCAACACATAAATTAATTTTGAGAAATTAGGGAGTTGAGCAATTGTTTTGAAAGTCTTATTAGTCCTCGTGAATTGCTAACTGACGAAGTCTCTAAACGTACTCGAAATTTAGGTTTTCTTTCGCCATCTTGTGTCACTTATAATGTAGCCAGGACCTCCGTATGTTATTGTTCAGACGCTTGGGTGGCGAATTCTAACCAACAGAATTAGTTCGAAAATCTGTTGCGTAGGCTCAACTACCGCCTGTCTGTGATAATAGTAGTATGGAAGAGGGTAATGCATCACCATACTAAGACGTGACGTGAGTCTATGGAAGTCAGTGACAATTGAATTGCTCCATATTGTTAACAGATGTAGACAACTTGATTTGGGTCTACGAGATTTTCGTAACCGATGGTTGGTGATTAGGGTGTATGGCTCAAATTCGTTCGCATTATTGCAGATACAATTACTCTGTCTCCTCCTTACATTCTGAGTCTCTAAATCCCTATGCTTTCAAAGTTCGTCAACTATTGTCTAGAGGAGCAGTCAACTCGATTTATTTCAATTGATCAACAGTTATCACTACAATCATTCAATATGTTACCTAATTAACACCATTAGATGCCGGCGCAATGGTCTATATGTTAAGCGTTCTCGCGACCGAACGTCCTGGTTTGAATCCCGAGTATAGATTGTAGATACACAATGCTGAGGAGTCCCACACTGGCACCAACGGCCATCCAGTGCTTCTAGGTTTTCAAGGTGGTCTGACACTGATCGATTCATAGTCTCATCAAAAACTGAACACAACCCCATACTGATAACTTTCATTAGTTTCTAAAATGCCATGGAAGTAATAATGGTCAGATTATTCAAAATGTATATCGCAAATACATCACATTCTTCATTAATGTAATCTTTATATTGCTCTATTGAATCTAACAAATTGAAAAGTTAAGGGTTTCTACAGAGAATTTGTTATTTCGCATCA